GGCCCGGGGCCCGCCAGCGTCTCGCGCACCAGCGCCCACAGCTCGCGCTGCAGCGTCTCGTACAGCAGCGCCACGTCCCGCGCCCGGCGGCCCCCGCCGGCGCCCTCGGCCTTGGGGGGCCCCGGGGCGCCCCCCGACGACGCCAGCTCCTCGGCCTCCAGCTCCAGGATGTGCTCGTCGGCGCGCGCGAGCTCGCGCTGCTGGATCAAGCTCAGGATCTCCAGCACTGCGGGGGCGAGGCGGGGGCAAGGCGGGGGTCAGGGCGCTGGGACGGGAGCCAGGTGAGGGCAAGAGGGTTGGGGGGGTGTCGGCTGAGAGAGGGGTCAGGGATGGGTCCCGAGAAGGGGGAGAGAGACGGGTGTCAGGTGAGGGGAGTAGGGAGGGCGGGGTGAGGAGGGTCAGGGAGAGGTGGGCGCCAGGCGTGGAAGAGGAGGTCGGGGAGGGGGTAGGGAGAGTGGAGGGAGGCGGGAAGGAGAGAGTGCAGTGGGGGGAGAGAGCAGAGGGGGTGAGGGAGCGGCCCAGGCGTGGGGGCGGGGGCAGCAGAGGGTTCGGAAGGAAAGAGGATCTCTGAAGGTGGGGGGGATCTGGATATGGGGGGGCAAAGACTAGAAGGCGCATGCGCGGAGATGGGAAAGAGGGTCTGGGGGTGGTCTGGGGGTGGGGATAGGAATCGGGAAATGAGGGGTGGGGGTGGGGGTTGCAGAAGAGGGAAGGAGTTAGGGGCCAGAGTCAGGGGTCAGGGGAGTGCGTTAGGGAGGGGAGAGGGGTCAGGAAAGCTGAGGGGTCAGGGTAGGAAAAGTGCATGGGGCTGGAGGAAGGGACCAGAGGAAGTGGGAGGGGTAAGAAATGGAGGAGGGGGAGGAGGGGGAGGACGGCAGAGCCTGGTACCCGGGACAGCGATGGAGACAGCGGGGAGCGGGGCTTGGAGATGGGGAGAGGGTATGCGACTAGAGATGGGGTCTTTGGGGACGGGACGGCTGGGGGGTGATGTGGCGCTCTGGTGAGTTCAGACGGTCCCGAGAGAGGGGAGCCGCGGTTGGAAGGCCTCTGAGTGGCAGAGGCAGGGTCCCAGCGGCCCAGGGTCACCCTCAACACCCCCCACTCCCCCCTCGCTTCCTCCCTGGCAGAGAAACTATTTCCTGGCCAGCGCTATTTCTGCCCATCCGTTTCCAGAAGGCGGGGCTCCAGTCACCCCCTCCTCACCTCCCTGCAGTGCCCTCCCAGTCCCCTGGGAGCTGGGGCTGGACTAGCCTCTGGCCAGAGGTGGAGGCCATCGGAGACAGAAAGCGCTCTTCCGGGGCCCCATGGCCCGAGGGGGGGGCCAAAAGCCTGGCTCCAGGAGTGGAGAGGACGTGGGGAGGGGGTGGGGGGAGGGGGGCAATTAAGATGGAGTTGGGACAGGTTTGGGGATGAAACTGGGGATGAGGATGGCGTGCAGGTGGGGTCCGGATGAGGGAGTTCAGGATGAGGTTGGTGCTGGCTCTGCAGAGGGAATGGGAAAGGGCTTGGGGTAGGGGTGCGGTTGGAGGTGTGGGGGGAGATGAGTTTAGAAGGAAGCTGAGGTTGGGAGGAAGGTGGAGACTGAGTCTGAAAATGAAGTCTGGCTGTGAGCTGGGCAGGGGTAGGAGCGTGGGTGGAGGTGAAGACGGAGGCTGGGGACGGACCAGGATTGGGATTGGGGGTGGGTTTGATGACGAAGAGGAGGTTGATGGGACTGAACAAGGGGGGGGTTGGGGGAGGGGCGTGGGGTTGGAGGTGGCTGCTGAGAGGGGCTGGGGTGGGAAAGGGCCCAAACACGTGCAAACATGGGACGGGACTGGGGATGGGATGGGAGGAATGGGACAGGAAATGGGGTGTTGGGCGTCAGGCGTTGGTTGTGGAGAAGAGGCTAAAGATGGCGCTTGGAGAAAGCTATGGGTTGGGGACAAGCACAGGGATGTGTCCCAAGACAGAGATTGAAGACAGGATTGGAATAATTTGGAACACAAAAGGCACGAGCTGGGCAGTGGGGGTGGGAATGGGGATGGTGGTGTTATGGGTTGAATTGTGTCCCTCTAAAAACAATATGTGAAGTGCTAACCCCCAGTACCTCCGAATGTGACATTTGGAAATAGGGTCTGTACAGAGGTGATCAAGGTACGATGAAGTCTTTAGGGTGGGCCCTAGTCCCGTGTGACTATGTCCTTAGAGAAGGGAAATCGGGATACAGAGACAGACACTCACACACAGAGAGGATGATGGGAAGGAGGACACCACGTGGAGGTGAAGATGGGACAGATGCGTCTCTGTGACAAGCCACGCCAGGGGCCGCCAGCAACCCACTGGGAAGAGGCGAGGACGGCTTCCCCCGCAGGCTCCCGAGGGAGTGAGGGAGCCTGGCCCTGCTGACACCCTGATCTCCTGCTTTATTTATTTATTTTTTTTGAGACAGAGTCTCACTCTGTTGCCCCGGCTAGAGTGCCGTGGCGTCAGCCTAGCTCACAGCAACCTCAAACTCCTGGGCTCAAGC